TTGCCGAATGTTTCTTTTGACGTGTATTTCAAGTCATATGATGATGATGACTCTGTTAAATGTCTTTATTGGCAGCTTAAATCTCGTCCAAAATTTTACAAAGGATTAGTTGGTAAAACCAAAATTTTACAAAGGAGTATGTAAAGAACATGTCCAATGACTCCGTGTGGGGCGATGATATCACATTGAAAGCAGCTGCAGATGTCTATGGTGTCAAGATATTACTCATTACATCACTCAAAGATGTCCCTTCCACTCTACTTCTTCCCAGACTCATTCACTTGAGCTATTTGGCAGGCATCCATTTCAATTCCATCCACTTGAACAAAGGTTATCTTTTTCTCTTCAGACCAATTTTGTGTATCATTCATTCTACTCATTCTTCCACTTTTTTGGCAGGTTCATCTTTGGATACTGCCTCAATGGGGCTACATAGTAAGGAGAAGGAGGAGGAGAATAAGAATAACAAGAATGGGAAGAAGAACAAGAAGGAATTACATCGCCACTTTGACTCTTGATGTCATGTGAATATGTGAATTTGTCAGATGCTTCAACTAAAATATGTGATGTGAAGCACATGAAACAACGTTCAAATGATATACTTTACAAATCATGTATCATATATATGTTTTTAGATTCATTAAAAATATTTCTTGAGATAAAATAGTCATGAACAAAATATATAAAAATGCTTAAATTTGCAAATCTCTCTTTTTTTTTAATTACCAAAAGTCTGTAATGCCTTTGTAGATTTTGTGGAAGAAAGCTTTGGTTTAGCTAATCACGATGGAGACATTGTTGTCATGAGAGAGCATTGGAACTATCTGAAGCAACTCTTCGAAACCTCTTCTATTAAGACAACCTTTCTCCAATCTTACGACCATCTTCTCTAATCTATGTGTGGATGCCAACATAAGTTTCATGAACGAAGCTACCTCCTTTGCCTCTACTTCGTGGTTTTCAGAATAAGTTCCAAACCATTGCGGACATAGACTCGAGCCATGCAGACCCAAGTAGTTGTCAAGATCCTTCTCCTGTACAAGAGAAAAGTTCAGATTGTCAATATCTCATAGTCACATGATCCTTAGGATTATTCAAGCTCGGAAAAAAATAGTTAGAATAGTCAAGAGAAAAAAATGCCTATGACAAAATATACCGGTATGAAGTGGTCAATCCTTTTGTGTAATAGGGTTAGCTTCTTTAGTTCAGGTGAGTATTCTGTTACCGCTACTATCCCACGAATTACGTATGGAGAGATTGTTGTCTCAAGCGTCAAAACTTTAGCCTTAAACGTCGGAAAAGGAACATCGCGGAGATCGGCGATAGATAAAATCAAGGCTGAGTTGCTTGACGGAAGAATTAGTGTAGAAGAAATCAGGAATACGATACGAAGGATGACGATACCAACCGAGGTCCAGCGTCAGATTTTCAGCGTTTCGGGACATGGCTAACTCGACCCACTTGTCAATGTGAGTGAGATTGCTCATCAAGTCGGTATCGATGTAAAAACTCATCATCTTGGGAGCTCTGTAGTAGCGAGCTAGGGTTTTGTCTATGGAATCAGCGTCCAGCATACGATATACGTATCCAAATAATCAAAGGAGAGGGAAGGTGTATGCGACCATACATGCCTCCATTGTCTGGATAATACGGATGTTCTGATGGCTTCTTCGGTCTGAATAAAGGAGAGGATTTGTTGGAGCATCTCATCAGGCAGAGAGCTCAGCAAATCTTCGCTTGAATCTCTTGCCGCGGTGGCACCGTCTCCGTTGTTCGCCATCACGTTATTATCGATACACCTAGAATTTTGCAATGAAATAGCTTTAAAATAAAAAAGCAAAACAAAAAATATATATGGGATCCCCCAAATATTAATGGGTTTTAAAAAAGCCCATCAAATACTTCAAACCCAATTTGATAGTACGCGCCCGGGAAATTTAGTTTAGTTCTATTTAAGGGAATTTCTCTTGGTTATATGGGATAGTAGAAAATTAATTATAAATATTGTTTGGATATATTAGCTTTAGGATCCATTGTAGAATTTGGGACGGGAAATTAGGGTTTAGATTTTGAGAAGAGAAATTTGGGTTTAGAACTTTAGATTATGAAAAGAAAAATTAGGGTTTAGAAAAAACGGCGCATAAAAAATTAGGGTTTAGAATAGACGAAGCATAAAAAAAAAATCTTGTTTAGAGTTTCTTTTTATAAGAATAACAGTAGTTAGGTTTTGAGAATGTTTTAATTAGGCTTCTCTATGAAGTCCACATCTTGTGTAATTTTATTTTGAGCAATATAATTTTGTTTTTGAATACTATTTTAAGATTTAGATACCAAGAGAAAAATCACCATATCACTTGTATGTTTGGACTCAAAAGTTTGTAGTGGTATTTTTGAAAAAAAAAAGTAGTGTTTTCAAATTCTGTATTTTTTTAATCTCTATACAGAATTTTAGGATTTGGATTTTGGGGTATTTTATAATAAAAAAAACTAGTGATGGTACGTTTGGAAGAATAAAAAAATTAATTTAGTGATATTTAAGAGTATTTCTCTTGGTTATATGGGATAGTAGAAAATTAATTATAAGTGTTATTCGGATATATTAGCTTTGGGATCTATCGTAGATTTGGGGGAGAGAAATTGTGGTTTGGAGTTTGGGAAGAAAAATTAGGGTTTAGATTGTAAATAAAATACAAATTTAGTGGGTACGTATAGTCTAAATTTGATGCGATGATATATTTTGATGCTCCTAGTTGTAAAGGAACCATGTGATTTGTGTCACCACCTATTATTTTATACAATGTTCAACGTTGATGCGATGATATGATGCTTCTTCCTTTATATGTTCACATACATAAGTCTTCGTTAGTTTTACTCGTGATACAAATCTCAAATTGTTTCCCTCTGATATTTTTATTTTTGCTTTCGTATTGTGTTCTTGTTTTCTAGCAAATGGACTTGTATGTTTAAAGGGAGATTCATATACTTGACCAGCTGAAAAAGGTAAACATATAAAAGATAGGATAATATCTTCACGTAGCTTGGGAAATGTGGTTTTTGCTCTTTGAAAGTTGTGCCATCCATTCGTGTTTCTTGATTTGGCTAAGTGCCTTCCCCACTCTAAATCATATACAAATGTATAGCTAGTATCTATATTTATTTGCCGAGAAAAAAAAGCTAGTATCTATTTTTTTTTTTTTAATTACTCAAATCAAATGGTCCTTAAGAAATAAGAAAAAAATGATTCAGGACTTTTTTCGAAATATGAAGCAAAATAGATCATTTAACACAAAATGTTACATTATATCAATAAAATATTATTGTAGACTATGTATAATCGATTTATATATATGGGAATTTCAAAAATACCAATTTTCATATACCATTTTCCAAAAATACATATTTTTAAAACTTAGTCCAAAAATCATTAAAAATTTTAAAATTTATCTAAATATGTGCGTAATCTTATAAAGATACATACAAATTATTTTTTTAAACATCTGCGCTCTACAAAAATATCATGATAATTTTTTTTGTATTTTTGAGATGAAGTGTGAAGAGAATTTTTAAAATTTGGCTTTTTATGTAATTTAGAAAAAACCAGTCGGTGGATGTTTTTTTTTAATAAGTTCTTTTCTTTTTTCTCTTTCCCAAATGTACCCAAAAATAAAAAAAAGGAGAAGTGAGAACAAGAAGCCAAACAGTATAACTGCTCTGCTGAGTGCTGACTGCTATGCCTTGTGGTGACATGGCACCGTCTCTATCATTCTTTCCACGTCACCAACCTAAGTGGACCATTTAATTCGCATGAAACGCACCGCACCAACTCTGTTTTTTTCTTTTTTTCTGTTTAATACTATACACTACAACCTTTTGATTTTGATATGTATTGTACGAGAAAAACAAACCTTCGAAATTTTTTCAATAATTATTTTATGTTTAATTTGCGTAGATGTAATTTTTTTTGAAACTAATAGATATAAATTTACACATGTTATGGATTCTGCCAGGTGCGAGCTATCGTAGATAAAAAAAAACTAGTTTATTATAATTTATGGTTCCGAATGGTAACCATATCGCAGTATAAAACTGTATTGTAATAGTGATGTAACAATATTAAAATATCTATATATATACATTTATGTATTTTTGTTATTATTTGAATTGTACTGCATTTTTCCTACAGTGAAAAACGTAGTATTTTTCGGAGCCTATAAGTATATGTGTTGCGATTTTGCAAGATTAACTGGCAGTGTGGATTTTTTTGCAAAAATGTTCATTATACTCTTATATGTTGTGTAATAGTTACTTTTAATAAATTATTCATTCAAAATCATATGATAAGATCAATTACAAATAACAAAAGTTTAGAAAAGTACATTTTCAAATTATATTATAACACAAATTGGATTAACAAGACATAACTCATAAATTGATACCTACTAGACGAGATAATTCGATTTGGTTAAATCAAACTCTAAAACAAAATTCCGTAGAGATTAACCGTTAACCATTTATCATTTCCTCGATATTTTCTTAATTACACATCAAAATTATATGAGTGATTATGTGAATGAGTGACCTCAACCAAATATAACCTCCTAATATAATTCTTGATAGTTTTCCCAAAATCTATTGATAAAATGTATTAGAAAAATATAAAGAGATTCTTATTAATGGTGTGTTTATACTTACGAGTTAAGAGTGCAAATGATTGGATATACATGAATTCTTAGAAGAAAAAAAAAACAAGTTGAACATCATTCAATTAATTTTTATATAAATGTATCGAATAGTTTTCATTAATTATTTATCCATTTGGAGTTGAATAAATCGAATCAATTTTCAATTTATAAATTAACAAAAAATAATTCAAATGTTTTTAAATTTTATTAACATGTTAATGTAAATACCAACCATTTAATTTAATTTAATATTAAACTTATACAACTAAAGAGAAACAGAGACCTTCCCCTATAAAAAGCAGAGCAAGTAAAAGGAATAACGTGTTAAAGCCTCTCGAAAACCACAACAAGAAACCGAAACTGAAGAAACACAGAGAACCTTACAAAAAATAATGTCAGAACTCGAGAACAACGAGCCACTCCTAATCACCGAGGAAGAAGAGACAGCGTACGATGAAACAGAGAAGGTCCACATCGTGCGTGACGAAGACGAGAACGATCTAGAACACGGCGTCGGATGCGGCGGCGCACCACCATTCTCATGGAAGAAGCTATGGCTATTCACGGGACCTGGGTTTTTGATGAGCATTGCTTTTTTAGATCCAGGGAATCTAGAAGGAGATCTCCAAGCCGGTGCGGTTGCTGGGTACTCGTTGCTTTGGCTTCTCATGTGGGCTACAGCGATGGGTCTTTTGGTTCAGCTTTTATCAGCGAGGCTTGGTGTTGCAACGGGTCGTCACTTAGCTGAGCTTTGTCGTGATGAGTATCCTACTTGGGCTAGGATGGTTTTGTGGGTTATGGCTGAGTTTGCTTTGATTGGATCTGATATTCAAGAAGTTATTGGTAGTGCTATTGCTATTAAGATTTTGAGTAATGGGATTTTGCCTCTTTGGGCTGGTGTTCTTATCACTGCTCTTGATTGGTAAGCTCTCACACACACAAACTCTCAAATTTTTTCATAAAAATGTCACCTTTGGACATGACATGAGTCATTGACTTTCTTCACAGTTTTTGTTTTTCTTTTGTTTTGTCTCTTTGTTTGTGGTTCTAATTGCAGTTTAGCTAATCTAATCTATGATTTGTATATGATTTTGTGTTAACTGACTATTACCAATGTCAATTAACACTATTACCAATGTCACTTTCATCTTCAGACATGAGTTTTGGTCACTATGTGTCTTCTTTGGTTAATTATGATGTCTTTTGCTTAAAGTTTCAGTTTTTTTGATCAGGAAACTCGAGACAGTGTTTTTGGTTATAATCTAATCTATGGATTGTAATTAGCTGTGTTAATTTCTTTGTCGAACTTGAGTTTTTAGGTTTTATGTTTGTCTCATTGTGTTATTGATTCATATGTATGTTTGTTTTGGCTACAGTTTTGTCTTCTTGTTTCTTGAGAACTATGGAATAAGGAAGCTGGAGGCAGTGTTTGCTGTTCTAATTGCTACAATGGCAGTCTCATTTGCTTGGATGTTTGGTCAAGCTAAGCCAAGTGGCTCTGAGCTTCTCATTGGTTAGGCTTTCTTTGTTCTCTTTATCCTGTTTCCTATTTACAACTTATATTTTAAGTTTCTAAAGGAGTTAGCTTTATCTTCTTCTTGCAGGTATATTGGTACCAAAACTGAGTTCAAGAACGATACAGAAAGCAGTTGGAGTTGTGGGTTGTATTATAATGCCACACAATGTGTTTCTTCATTCAGCTCTTGTTCAATCTAGAGAAGTCGACAAACGACAGAAATACCGAGTCCAAGAAGCGCTAAACTACTACACAATCGAATCCACGATTGCTCTTTTTGTCTCGTTTATGATCAATCTCTTTGTCACAACGGTTTTCGCTAAAGGGTTTTACAATACTGACCTTGCGGATAGCATTGGTCTGGTTAACGCGGGACAGTATCTTCAGGACAAGTATGGAGGCGGGGTGTTCCCGATACTATACATTTGGGGTATCGGTTTATTAGCTGCTGGTCAAAGCAGCACCATTACAGGTACCTATGCAGGACAGTTCATCATGGGTGGGTTTCTTAATTTCAAAATGAAGAAATGGTTGAGAGCTTTGATCACTCGTAGCTGTGCTATCATTCCAACTATTATCGTCGCTCTAGTGTTTGATTCATCAGAAGCTACACTCGATGTCTTAAACGAGTGGCTTAACGTTCTTCAATCCATTCAAATCCCCTTTGCACTCATTCCTTTGCTGTGTTTGGTTTCCAAGGAACAAATCATGGGTAGTTTCAAAATCGGTCCTTTGTACCAGGTTTGTCGATTTCTTTCAAGCTCTTCTACAACATTTTCATTAAAGACTCCTCTTTAAAACTCAACACTCACCATTGTATGTATGCAGACAATCGCGTGGCTAGTTGCTGCGCTCGTGATATTGATCAACGGTTATCTTTTGTTGGAGTTCTTCACCTCAGAGGTTAGTGGAGTAGTCTATACCGGTTTGGTGACTATGTTCACAGCTTCATATGGTGCATTCATATTCTACCTCATTGCTCGTGGCATCACTTTCACTCCATGGCGATTCAAAGCAGGATCTATTCAATGAGAAATGAACCAAACAAACAAGACAGTGTAGTAGCTATATCTTGTAATCCTTAGGATAATGAGTTTTAACTTTCTCTTTTGTATTATATGTGTTGTTGTTATAAAGCAGCTCTGCTTGTATTGTATTGTATTGAAGAAGGCTCTTCTATATATGTATCAGTAGATAGTTCCCAAAGATAAAAACTAATAAGATCTGCTATTTTTGTTGTTGTTCTTGTGGAGTTTTAATTAATTTCAGAAACTTTATATAATATTATGATTCCGAACAAAATCATTACTGAATCTACTACAAACAATAGCAAAACAAATTGTGTTTAGTGAATCTAGAAACGATGATGGACTGATTGTTTTTATTACTTCATCGAATATAAAAGAGTCATTGTTTTTTTGACGATGTTAAGGGGAATCTAGAAATTACATCGAAGTCTTTTAGCTTTCATATTTTTTTATTCTTTTTTTTTATTTTGTCATGCGACCAATTTATAAGTTTTACTTCATTGTAACTTCAAAACTCTTTTCATTGTTGAAAGCAAAAAATTGCGATTCTAAATTTTTTATTAATTGAATCATTCAAGATAGGATGGGACTCCATTTATACTCTAATTTAGGTGTTTCTTTACCATGTGTAAAGTAAATACCATCTTCTCTAGCTTCCCAAATGTTCTTTTTACCGTACCTACGTATCAGACCACCACCTTCGTATGCCCTAAACTTTGCATAGAACTTGTAAGTCGGACCACGTCCCTGCCACAACTCGCAATCATATTTGGTTTTCAAAACACTATCGTGAAAACGAAACTCGTAGATCTCTACACCTCTCAAATAATGGTATCCTAGATCGTCGTCTTTCGATGTACAATGAATCTTGAGAACGTTTTTTGGAGCAAGCGAGTTCTTGAAAATTACTGAGTTTTTCTCGTTGAACTTGGCATTACTCAGTCCTGCAAACAATACAATGACAAGTAAAAAGTATGAAAAATAGTTCATTCTTTTTGTTTTAGGGTCGTGATAAAAGTATCAAAAGATAAAGAAGATGCTTATTTTATACCAATGTTTGGGTCATGTATTTAATAATTTTGCATCTTGTTAAAAGGAATATTTTTTTCTTTCTCCAATAATGTTTTGTGCTGTTTTGGAAAAAATATTTCATTCAAGGTTTCTATATTTGTTATATACTATATGCACTAATGTCATGATAATGTGTACACACACATAAAGACATTTTAGGAAGAGTACATAATATTCATCATTAATTTATCAATTCGGGTTTGGGAAATATATCTAACACAATCTTCAATATATAGGAAACATCAAATGGGAAATATATCTACCACAATCACAATCTTCAAAAGGTTTCTTTGTTTTACACAAACTATAGAAAAAAACAAAAAATATTTACACAAATTATAAAATAAAAAGAATTTCCTAACAAAAAAAAATATATATAATAACTTTCTGTGTTATCCAACTAAATGATATGATTTAACTAAAAAAAGGATCCATTCTGAAATACCATACATTTAAAAAAAAAAACGTAAAAATAAAAACAGCATAGTGACATAATTTTTTCTTTAATTGTGGAATATATCATGTAGATTATGTCATGTAGGAATATGATTAGGCCCAAATATGATCATTAGTAATATATATCTTGCAAATTTACAGAAACGTTCAAATTCAACACTTAGCTGTCGATTGTTACAAGATAATAATTTTTTAATTTCTTGTTTAAGCTAGAAAGTAGAAACCATGGGTTTTGATTAAATTGAGTGGATATATTGGAAAAATGCCTACATGTAATTCAGTGGAATGTCGTTTTAACAAAAGTTGTGAAGTCGTGTTGAAGATTCATTGAACAAATTACGATATGACATGGCATACTAATTGAGTCAGATTTCATTCGAACTGATAAACTTAAAAAAAAAAAGTCTTAGCTAGTAAAATTTCATATTTTTGTTAATTTTCCAACCGCATAGTGACATAGTTTTCTTTAATTATGGTCACTAGTCACTATGGATATCTTGCAAATTCGCAGAAACGTTCAACTTTTATGTCATATCATACAGATCATACAACAAGCTCATTAGCCTAAAGTCTTGTTGTAAAGAAAAGAGCATATTGCAAAACAAAACCCTTAAACTATTAATAAACTGCAAAATCAACCCTTAACTTATTAAAATGCAAAATAACCCTTCAACCAATTAAAAAAATCTTGCATTAGAGCTTCCAAAAACTAACAAATTGTTTAATATCATGTATATGTCTCTAAGCAGTCATAAAATCAATAAAAACACAATGCAACACTAACTATGTTGACAAGAAAGACATCAATAACAACATCGTCGCTAGTTATGTGCGGTGTTGATGACGATTTTTTATTTTCTTTTTTATGTGTCACAATGATTTATCAAAATAGATAAACTATATAGATTTTTACTAATGTCGATAATATACGTAATTTATGTCACTGTATACTAAAACAATGTTTGAAACTTTATCGCTTATCGCTAGCAACAACAGTAACAACCAAAATTTGTTTTATACTAAATTTTATAGAAGACAGATTGAAGAGAGTATAACGCTGATATATAAAATGTTGTCATTAATAGAAACAATCGCCAATAATACCATCAACAATTTCAGTCAAATAGATGTTTCTATAAGGCGTGACTTCAAAATTTTTGGTTGCTCGTGTGGATAGCAAGAGAAGGAAAAACATAGCTTAACTTATATGTGTTACAATATATGTATTGCATTGTTTTTTATTTTTGGGTAAACTTGGGGTTGATTTGGATAGTTTTAAGAGTTTCTATAATAAAACATGATTTTGAAAATTTTCCAAAGAAGAAGAAAAAAAAAAAAAAAAAAGTAAAGTGGAGGAGACCAAGCTGACAACAATGTCCAAGACGGCTTGAAACGGCTTAAACGCCAGCAAATTTCTGATCTGACCAATTGCAGAGCTTTTCAACTCCGATAACTTTTTTTTTCCTTCTTCAGAAAAAACAATACAGAAGAAGAAGAAGAAGACGAAGAAGATTTGCTTTTGAACGTGCTCTCAACTATAATCGGCGAGACAGAGAAAGATTTGATTTTTCCCCTGTTCACGTGCATGTACGTTTCGATCTATCTTCTTAGGGTTTTCACAAAAATTTCACCTTTTTCTCTGTTCCAGTTCTCTAATCTCTCCTCCTTCGAAGGCTCGAAGCTATTTTCTCACATTTTCGAGATACCCATTTGATCAATTCGACAAATTTCTCTTTTGAAATTTCGAATTTGGGGGAGATTTAGGGTTTTCTAATGGCCCTTTTGTAATCGAAAGTTTCAAACTTGTTTGCTTTTTTTAAAAGGGTTGAGGAAATGGAAGAATCGGTGATAAAGGCTCTTCTCGGAAGTATCTCCTCGTTTCTAAATCTGTCATCCTCTAAACATATTGATTTAGACCCGTTTGAGAAGTACTATAAGAGTGTTGAAGAGTTGTTGAGAGTGTTGGAGCCAATTGCAGATGCTGTTGTTAACTCTCATCTTGTTTTGGATGAGAAACTTGGTAAATCTTTTGAAGAATTGACTCAGGATGTTGATCAGTCCAGTGATCTTTTCAGGGGTTGGCAAGCATTCTCCAGTAAAGTCTATTTTGTAAGTTTCTCGGCTCAGGTTGTTTGAAGCTATATTGAGTTTGAACATGAATAGATTAGTTTTGGTTTAGGATTGTTTAGGAGTTGCATAATTAGAGAGATACTAGGCATTTACAAGCATTTCTATGATCCTTTCTGGTTACTTGATTGCTGTATCTAGGTCGTATTTTGCTTTTTGGCTTGAATCCTGATGGTTTTAGGATAAGATTAGTGACTGTCGTGTTAATTTCCACTCCTGCTTGAGCTTTGATTACTGATATATCGTTTGTTGATGATAGCCTCTTAATATCTACGTCTAGGTCCTCCAAATTGAATCTTTGATACCGAAGATGAGAGACACTATTGTGGATGCTTTCCAGTTTTTGATGTCTTCTAAGGATGATCTACCTGATGAGCTGAACCAAGCTTCCCTTGAGGTACTTTCTCTTTACATTTACAAGATTCTTGTATTGATTTCCTGGTATAAATTAGGTGTACAAAAGTGGTCTCTTCAGAACATTAGCTTTAGGTTGGAAATTAAAATGGAGAGCAGTTTCGACCTTTAAGGGAAGGGATTGATCTTAATGATGCTGACTGCTTTGTGTTTTGTTGTATTGTCGACATTAGCGACTGAATTGAATTGCAGGAGATGCGAATGGTTAATTTACAAATCTTCATAATTGCAGCAATGTTTAGAGAAGATTCAGCATCTTAATTATGAAGAAATATCTTCCGTCATTGATGGTGCTCTGAGAGATCAGAGAGATGGTGTTGGACCGAGTCCTGAGATATTGGTGAAAATCGGGGAGAACACTGGTCTGAGATCAAACCAGGAGATTCTGATTGAAGCTGTTGCTCTGGAGAGGCAGAAAGAGATGGCTGAACAGTCTGAGAACAATGCAGAAGTTGAGTTCCTTGATCAACTGATTGTTATTGTAAACCGGATGCACGAGCGTCTTCTTCTGATCAAACAGACTCAGACATCTAGTGTCGCCATTCTTGCTGACTTCTTTTGTCCTCTGTCACTCGAAGTAATGACTGATCCAGTGATTGTGTCATCAGGACAAACATATGAAAAGGCGTTTATCAAGAGATGGATTGATTTAGGTTTAAAAGTGTGTCCTAAGACTCGACAGACTCTGACTCACACGACTCTAATACCCAATTACACTGTGAAGGCCTTAATTGCTAACTGGTGTGAAACAAACGATGTCAAGCTGCCTGATCCCAATAAATCGACGAGTTTAAACGAGCTTTCTCCTCTATTATCATGTACAGACTCCATTCCAAGCACAAACGCTGATGTTTATGCTCATAAAGTCAGCAACAAGTCACATGATTGGGATGCTTCTTCAAGTGAAATTGGGAAGCCCTCATTCTCAAGCCGGGGAATTGAAAGGGAAAGTGCTTCTCCTTCACGTCCTGCTTCTGCCTTGGGTGCTTCTTCACCAGGTGTATCTGGAAATGGGTACGGGTTGGACGGCAGGAGGGGATCACTAAATGATTTTGAAGATAGATCTAACGATTCTCGAGAATTAAAGACAGATGCACCTGGTAGGTCATCTGTATCTTCAACTACACGAGGCTCAGTGGAAAATGGACAAACATCTGAGAACCACCATAATAGGTCCCCTTCTGCTACTAGCACTGTTTCCAATGAGGACTTTCCAAGAGCAGATGCGAATGAGAATTCAGAAGAATCAGCTCATGCTACACCTTACAGCAGTGATGCTTCAGGAGAAATTAGATCAGGGCCTCTTGGGGCAACCACTTCAGCAGCTCCTCGGCGAGATTTCTCAGATTTTTCGCCAAAATTTATGGATAGACGTAACCGTGGCCAATTTTGGCGGCGTCCATCAGAGAGACTTGGTTCAAGGATCGTTTCAGCGCCTTCGAATGAGACAAGACGTGAGCTTTTGGAGGTCGAAGCCCAAGTTAAGAAACTGGTGGAGGAGTTAAAAAGCACTTCATTAGATATTCAGAGACAAGCAACAGCTGAACTAAGGTTGCTAGCAAAGCACAACATGGATAACCGGATAGTCATAGGGAACTCTGGGGCAATCGTCTTATTAGTGGAACTACTTTACTCAACAGATTCAGCTACACAGGAAAACGCTGTTACTGCCCTTCTCAACTTGTCTATTAATGACAATAACAAAAGTGCAATTGCTGATGCTGGTGCAATTGAGCCACTCATCCACGTGCTTCAACATGGTAGTTCTGAAGCTAAGGAGAATTCAGCAGCAACCCTCTTCAGCCTCTCTGTGATAGAAGAAAACAAGATTAAGATTGGTCAGTCGGGTGCAATCGGGCCTCTTGTGGATCTACTTGGTAATGGTACCCCTCGGGGAAAGAAAGACGCTGCTACTGCATTGTTTAATCTATCGATACATCAAGAAAACAAGGCGACGATCGTGCAATCTGGTGCTGTGAGATATCTTATAGATCTAATGGACCCAGCAGCTGGGATGGTGGATAAGGCCGTTGCTGTTTTGGCAAATCTAGCTACAATCCCGGAAGGAAGAAATGCTATTGGTCAAGAAGGCGGGATCCCTCTTCTTGTTGAAGTCGTTGAGTTGGGTTCAGCTAGAGGGAAAGAAAACGGCGCAGCAGCTCTTCTTCAACTATCAACCAACAGTGGCCGGTTCTGCAACATGGTTCTTCAAGAAGGAGCCGTTCCTCCACTCGTCGCTCTCTCACAGTCTGGTACTCCTAGAGCTAGAGAAAAGGTACAAAACTTTTATAACTATCTCACGCTCCTCTTGATACATTTTGTTTAAGCAGAGCCTACTCAATCACCATGAATCTCATGACTTTTGGATTGTTTTGAAAAGTTCTTTATTTGGAGAATCTTGTAAACTTGTCAGGCACAGGCATTGCTGAGTTACTTCAGAAACCAACGGCATGGAAACGCCGGGCGTGGCTGATGGATGATGATGATATTGTTCTTGATGATGATGATGATGATGATGATGATGCACAGATTCTGGTCACTCAGTGCCTATTTTTATGTTTTGTCTCTTTACCAAAGTAGTGATTTTGTACAAAAAAAGAGGTTTTCGTCTGCAAATAATTTCCATACCCAAGATTTTTCTTTTGTTGTTGTTTCTCTATATTCTTTAATTTTCAATTGATTCTCAGAATAAACTTTGATTTGGAATAGATTTTTTTTTTTCTTTCTGATTTTATTAGTCTTTGAAGAAAACAATGTAGTTGTGGATGTGAAATGTGAATGAGTGAGAATATTTTACCATTGATGTAGCCAATTATCAAAATGAATTTTGCAGAAAACAGCATGTTTTTAACAATTATTAAATTGTATACATAAAAACAAATAGTATATCAAATGCTGAATACAAAAATAGGATTTGCAACTACAAAAAAAATCTCAAAGTAGAGACAATGCGATTGCTGCAGCTCCCACCATCACATTTTGCATTACAACAACACTTGTTCTTCTTTCTGCTCCGCTCTGCATTATTATTAAATCATTCGATTTTAAAACGTTTTAGAAAAAATCAAACCTATCATAAACAGCAAAATGTGTATCATTAAAATTAAATTTATCAGAAGAATCAGTGACAAAAATTCAACGAAAATTAATTAAGAATTTAAGAATAGGAGACTAATTTTACTAAACGCAAATTATTGTATCATAATACTAAAATATTCCATTTTCCAAAATTTGTTATTATGATCAGAGTAATCACCTAATTTATCTCCATAATCTTTTGTTGTTTACTTAATTGACTCTTAAGTTAATTTAACCATTGGTTAGGGTTAAGTTATGATATTACCTGATCATCGGCGGCTGGGGACATATCATCGCTTGGTCCAGGACTAGGAGATTCACCTGGCGGTGCAGGTGGGCTTAGAAGCTCCGAATCTGGTCCAGGAGCCGGTGCGGTCTTATGCTTCTTGGTCGTCTTCTTATGTTTGCTCGGAGCTGGAGCGGGAACGTCAACAGCTGACGGTGCTTGCACGGGGGACGAAGGTGTATCAGCCTCCGGTGTAGGAGCCGGAGGAGGAGAAGAAGCCTCAGGTGTAGGAGAAGGAGGAGACGTGACCGGCACGTCAGCCGAGGATTTCGGTGCCTCGACTGGTGGTTTTACCGGAGCATCAGCTGTGGGAGTGGATTCAGGTGTTGGAGAAATGACTGGAGATGTGGATTTTGGAGATTTAGAAGGAGAATGGATCGGCGCGGTGGCCGGAGATTGGCCACCGACGACGCCGATGAAAACAATGCAGATCAATGTAACTGACAAGAGAGTTTTAGGATCCATGATTTTGTTGAGAGAAACAAGGATGTGTGTAGAGAAAAGAGTGACTATGAAGTGAAGACTTAAGATAACTTCACTTGTGTGTGTGTGTTATCTTTTGGCATTTTTATAAGATAAAAAGTTGAGACATCTTGACCGTTGATTTTTTATTCTAATGACCCTAAGGTGATTTAGTAGCCGTTGGAGCAGAGTATTGTGTAAAATAGTGAAGGCTAGGCCCAGTATGGCAATGGGCCTAACATATTTTGTTTTTTTATCTTGTATTTGTGTTTATTGTATAACCAAGAGCTTACAAAGGATGGACACAGCTGGGGAAGATTGGCATATTCCGGTGATGTTCCCATCGCAGCCATTGTCATTGCTATGGATACACCTGTTAAAACATCATTTTTATTTGATAGTTAATCGTATCATACTATGCACTACTATAGTTTTAGTATAAGTTCCAATTTTGTACACTTGTGTTTTTGAAGTGGCGATTCCATTTGTAAAGACAATGACATATGGGAAACTACCATCGAGAATGGCGTGTCGACAATGTCATAATTTTGTTTTCTTGGGTGGTCATTATCGAGCTGAGAGGAAACAAATGACAATATTATTACATGCGTTGTAGTACATGCCACTTTTTTCAAACAGTTTATTATTACTTCTTGCTTTTATTTAGTTACATGCAATAGTAAACCTTACTGGAAATAACATAGCTTTGAATCAATTGTTCTTCGATGAGTTTCTTTGAATCTTGATAGGTTGGGGCTAGGTTCTTTACCAACTGATTGGTCTGTACCAAGCCCAACTCAATATGAAAGTTGTATGGTTCACTGAGAATCGTAACTTGTCGATTGGTGCGAGATCATGCCCAAAACAAGGTAAAACCAATTAAAGAACAAAGCTATACACAAGTACAAAACAAGCCTAATTAAGTCCGTGTGTTAACATGAAAACAAAAATTAATCCTCGGCTAATAAGACCATTCAAGAGACAAGACAAGCCTAATGCGTTATCGTGTAAGCCCATGCATGTGTTATAAGGTTTCTTTGCAAAGTCCTATAAATAGAAATGTTATGTGGGTAAAAGAGATGTAGCTTTGAGAGTTGGTTTCAGATAGCTCTCCCTTACACATTTTATGAAATATTATTAGTCCAATAAATCTATTGGTACTTGGTGGCAATTTAAGTTCTTACAAAAAAAAAATACACATATGCTCTTATAATAAAATGATTAAAATCATGACTTACAAATGATAGAATATATCTACTTTCTTGGTTACATATATAATTTTGTGAGCCACATATCCTATAGAGAGATTAAGTCCAAGATTTGGCTATCACCAACCACGTGTACGTTACCAATTAATATACCCCTACATCAAAATATTCGTTCGTACTCACACAACTCACAAGTCACAAAGCCACCGACTTCGCCACACATCACACATCACGATGATCACCGGCCCTTCTTTAACAAATGATGACAATGTTGAAAATAAACTAATGGCAATAAAAAATATCAATTCACTTTTTCATATCTAAAATGTTAAATTGGATAATGTAAAAAAAAAAAAACAAAATGCTATGATAGTAGTGTTCATAAAATTCATAGTCAAAACAAATGATCAATATAGTTTATCTTATAAAACTCGGTGATTATTACAAGCAAAGACATTTTTTAATTAACCCGTTAAAAAAGTTAAGAACAAAAGGAAGCTGGATCAGTTATTGAAGATACTACAATTTTGGGTATTTTAACGATCCACTAAACCCAATAATTATTTTATTAGCCTTTCTTTTATTTCACGGAGCTTTAGCACCGGTAGTGGTGGTGGCGGCGGCAGGTGCGTCGCCTGAAGGAGTAGGAGCATCAGTGGAGCCACCACCTAGACCAGGTGTAGGCTCTTGATGTCCTTCAGCTCCATAAGCTTTCATCTTGTAATCTTCCAAAGTACCCGTCGCCATGTAAGGGCTATTAGTTGGTAAGTCGTTGTCTTTCACTTCTGGCCCAGTTTTCTTCTCAGTCGTCGTTGTCGCCGGCGTCGTCGTCGTCGTCGGTGGTGTTTTCTCAGCTTCCATTTTTGTTATTGTGGTTTGTTTCCTTTGTTTTTTTTCTTAACTATTAGATTTGTTTTTAGGATCTTACTTGAGTTGAGATGTGTCTGCTTTTATAAAGCTTCTAAAGAGTACACTGTGGCTTTGTGTCTTTCCGACACGTTAACTACGCGGCTCCTCGAGATCTACGTGTCCTTGTGGGTAATGTCGGCTGTATAAGTTCTGGGCTTTTAAAGTCGGCTTTTTAATGGGCTTTTAAGTGGGCTTTTTAATAAGATTACTAATATGGGTATTGGGATGGAAAATATCAGAAACAGATATTAAAATTATCATTTGATGATGTATTACAATAAGATTCAAAACATTTTTGGATAAACATTATAGGATTCAAGATATCGAGTATTTATTTTCACTTTTCAGACATGACAATTATTTAGCATTTAGCTCTCCACGAAAATAAACTTATTAACATAAAACACGTTAAACAAAACGATGTTATATATTGAACAAGCTAAGCTACATTTTTGTGTTTGTTAAAGATCTCACGGAACTCCCTGACGGTTAATAGCACCGGTGGAGGAAAGATCCGTCGATGCAGCACCTCCGCCACGGCCTACACCACCTGAAGGAGTAGGAGCATCGGTGGCTCCACCTCCCATGCCAAGCTTAGGCTCTTGGTGGCCGTGAGCTCCATAACCTTTCATCTTGTAATCTTCCAAGTTATCATAGTTCAAGTATGGGCTCTTGATGGACTCAACGTCGTCTTTAACTTCTTGCTCAGTCGATGGTGGCTTTTTCTGATCTTCCATATTTCTTTTTCCCGTTTGCTAAAACTCTTGCCGCAAAGAGGTTTACACTTTTTGTTTGCTTATATGGAACACGTACGGTTCGTATGTTTTTGACGAGTGGTATATAACGTGGCAATTATAGAGCTCTTTGAGACCTACGTGGCTTTTATGTAATGATTCATGTTCTCTTAACTCCCAAGGAAAGCTCATTTCACTCTTTTGGTGTTTGAGTCCCAGATCCTAACCCCGAGTTACCGAGTAAACGAGATTGAGTTTGGTAAAAGTTTAAATGAGCTAGATATAGGATTGTGTGTTCTCCTATATTATTGGAATTGTCTCTCACTCATTCATTGGAATTGTCTCTCACTCATTCATGAACATTTTCATTGTGTAATTTAGAAAACGATCGTCATATGAAATGGATAGGAAGAGTTGCAGTAACTTGTTCTAAAGTATTTTACAAGAGAACATTAAGAAATTTCGACCAACGACCAAAAACATGGTCAGAAACTGTCCGACTATTTTTATATTGTTCAACTTTTACTACAAACTTTTTTAGAAACGAATTATAGTCGAAAATTGGATGGAAACTATCGTCATAAGAAGCTTTAAAATCTGACCAAAGTTTTTTTCTTTCTCTTCGAGAAAAAAATTTAATAGTCCAAAACAGCATATCAAAATTTTAATGAAATGTATCCTAATATCTAAGAAAAAGCTATTATTTTTATTTTTTATTTTTTTATTAATTATTTTTTTATTAATTTTTTTTTAATACTAATTTTGGTTAATTCAATTATTGCAGAGAATATCCTAAAAATTACTTCAAAGACATATTTTATATCAATTAAAACTTTCCAACCATTTCATATCATTTAACTTATTTTTTTTTAAAACATAAATATACATTTATTTAATAATATAGTACTGGTATTTTTGACATAAAACTTTTATTATATTGATTTGAATGAAAATTGTGAAATTTGTGAAATGAGTATTATTTTCCATCTTTAAACCAAAGATAAAATAGTTAATCTTAATATTGTTGACAAAAAAAAAAAACCAAAGATAAAATCTTTAACACAAAAAAAAAAAATGGACCAATGATAAATGCAACTAAAATGAAAACTGATGGATTTAACTATCTAAGACTCGAACTGACACATTGTATAAAGAAAAACTGAAAAAGAAAAAAAAAGAAAAAAAAAACACAACTATGGATATGTCGGAAAACACAAGTACGAATACAAAGAGAGACAAATGTCTATAGAGAATCTACGTTAGAAACTTAGAAGATGACTTAACTACGTCACCTTTACTCTCATCTTTGTCTCTCTGTTCCCGCCGACGGAGAGATAGTGAGAATTCAAGTTTTTTCTTCTTCTTCTTCAAGATGAGATCTTATGGCAAAGAGAAGAAGCAGCTACGGTTTCCGTACGTTTTCATGGCGTTTTGCTTCTTCTTCACCATCATTTGTTTCTCCTTCTTCAATCTCCTCTCTCAGGTCTTTTACTTTTTAATCTTTATCTCTTAATAGCTTTGATGATCAAGTTTCTTTTGAAGCTCTTTCCAAGCTCTGTTTTTGCTGTACAGGAACGTGTCAGTGAGATTCCAACAAGAAGATCTGTAAACGAGGAAACTGAATCTTTGGATCATGGTTCTGTTTCTAACATTCCCTTTCAGGTCAGTTACTTCTCGAAACTGTAACAATCTAAAGAAAAAAACATAACTTTAGATCATCAGCTTTGGTACATGTTTTTGATGTGGAATTGTGGATGGTTAGGTTTTAAGCTGGAGTCCTCGAGTTTCTTACTTGCCGAATTTCGCGACTAAACAACAATGTGAAGCTGTAATCAGTATGGCAAAGCATATGCTTAAGCCTTCTCTGGTTGCTTTAAGGAAAGGCGAAACCGCAGAGACCAGTCAAAACGTTAGAACAAGGTTTTAATAAAAACTCTTTTCTCCTATAATGGAAAAGTCAGAGTTTAGAGAGCATTAGATCAATGAGTTTTTTTTTCGAAATGCAGCACTGGAGTGTTCATCGGAGCTGATGAAGATGAATCCGGGCTTTTAGCTGCCATCGAAGAGAAAATAGCTTTAGCCACGAGAATCCCCAGTGATTATTATGAAGTTAGTGAATATGAAACCAATGGTCAACACAAAGCTCACATATATCAATAAGATCTTCATGTGTTTTTTTTTTCTTTCTCTTCAGTCATTTAACATCTTGAGGTATCAGCTTGGCCAGAAGTATGACTCACATTATGATGCCTTTCATCCAGCAGAGTATGGTCCCCAAAAAAGCCAAAGGGTAAGTAAGCAACCTAATTTAAACAATCGATTCAAAACTACCATCTGTTGATCCCCAATCAACATATGAATGCAGCTCATGACTTTCATATTGTTCTTATCGACTGTTGAAGATGGTGGAGAAACGATGTTCCCATTCGAGGTAACCATTGTTTCTTTCTTTCAGTTTAAGATGGTTGGGGTTCTGGAGTTGTAAAACAGATTGGTTTTGAGGAAGCAGAATGGGAGAAACATGAATGGAAGCTACGATTATGAAAAGTGTATTGGTTTGAAAGTAAAGCCGCAACGAGGAGATGCCATTTTCTTCTACAATTTGTTCCCAAACGGAACAATTGATAAGGTAAGTGTTTCAGACAATCAAAACCCACAACTTCAGACATTGAATATCTGATCTTTCTCAAAATATGGTCTTGTTGTTGCAGACATCTCTCCATGGAAGCTGTCCTGTTATTAAGGGTGAGAAATGGGTTGCCACCAAATGGATAAGAGATCAAACATATGATTGACTTGTAAAATGTGAAAATTTTCATTTCATTCATATTTACTTGTAAAACAATAATGCCTAAAAGGTGCATAGAAGATGTTCATAATAAGACATGAAGTAAACAAAAAACAATCATTCAAAATAATCGAATCCTCTCAAACTAACGAATCAAACCTCTTATACTGCTTCCACTGCATCTTTGAGCTTCCAGGTATGTGTGCTCACTTCATGCTGCTACAAAATCGAAGCGAGACTAACACAAGATTACATACTAACCTGGATTTTGTAAGGAAACATGTAGATTTTGTCTTTGATTTGCCTTGTCCTGCTTCCGCATAAGTCTCATAACCAGAGATCACAGACTTACTCAGGTTCATAATTTGTGCCAATCTTGATGTGGTGACTTTCCCCATCGTCTCAATAAATATATACAACCAGCGGCAGTGAATAAAGAAATGGCACCAAAAGCCATCATTGTTGAGTTCTCGATCTTGTTAGAGTACCCTCTCTGCAATATTAAGATTGATAAGGAGACTGAGACACAGTCAAAATAGGTTAACAAGGGTGTTTTTTATGGCACATACCTGTATTAAGCAAAACAAAATAGCTGCATTAGCTGGGACTTGAGAGAGGCTTATCATCCCGCCACGCAATTCATTTGGAACATACCTATAAATAAAGATTTACATTTAATTACAACCGAGGAGGATTCTTCTATTAACATAGAATGTGTTTTCAATCTAATCTGAAAAATGTGAAATTGTATATGTATATAAGAACATTACATTGTTCTAAATCTTGCAAGCAAAGGCAGGGCCAGTCCAGCACAGCCATGAAATAAGCAGAAAAGTACTACTAAGATTCGGATTTCCTGCAGGATACGGTTTTTAATGTGTGAGGCCTTCCATAAGTTGCAAGAAGTTTTTTTATGAGTGCGTTTTACCAAAACTAGCTAATAAGTTACCTGATAGTCATATGCTACTATAGAAAACACAATCCCAAGTATTGCGTATATGTACACTAAGCAATCTTCAAGCCGGAGCATTGATTGTCCGCTCATAAGCCATGGGAATACTGTACTCCCAAGCATTCTTGAACCCAAGAAACATGGATATATTAATCCCAGATTCACTTCTCTCCCATCAGCCTGACCCAATATTACACATTTTTGGATATAATCAGATCATATGAAAAAGATAATATTGTCGAGATATAAATATCAGTAATTATCTGATCTAAAATCCCAAATAATGGATAAAGCTTGATCATACCACGATAGTTGGTGCCCAAAGAATCCAAAACACTGCAGTGGAAAACTGCAGGCAGGCTTGTGCAGTTCCCAGAAACCATATTCTTTTGTCTGATCAAATTAACAAGTAAAGATTATAACCTATAATCTGAATTTTAAATTGAACAGATACAAATTGACTTCAAATCTGTGAATTGAAATGGAGACATAAAGAACACACAGAATTCCTTACCACCAAGAACATATGCATAGAAAGCTGCGGAATAATCTCTAAATGGGAGTGTCTTCAAAGGCTCTTTCGCAGTCTGAACAATACAAACAATGGCCACAACAGACAAGAACATAGACGTCGTAGCAGAAAATGCTATGCCATGCTGCACGTTTTCATCTACAAGCCAATTTGAAAGAACTTGACCTCCTAGTAAAGATGCAGACTCAAGGAAAGTCATCAACCAGAACGTTTCATTTAACGAGTCATTCCTCTGACTTTGCTACAAAGATACAAGACACATAACAATAACATTACCACAAATCAAAACTTTCTCTTCTCTAATGATAAAACTCAAATGCAGAGACGAACCCATACCTTTTCATGTTCCACAACTAACCAAGTCTCAAACCCAAAAGAGTATACAAGACCAGCAAGAGAGAGACAAATATTAGCAAACCAAGCACTAGGACTCATTGTTATCCTCTTCCACACACCAACAACAAAGTGCAAGACACAATAGAGTAGACAAATTCTCTTCTGACCCCTACAAAAGTTTCGATATTGTCATTACTAAAAATCCAAACTTTGGGATTTAATCAAAGTTCTGCTATGATCAACAATGTCTACTTACATGAGATCAGAAACCAAACCAAGTATAGGACCGAGAACAAGAGCTGTGGAATAACCAACAGAGAGATAAAACACCATTGATTCCTTACTTAAACCATAAGACGTCAACTCCAATTCTCCATACACAGACCATAAACCTTCCATCACTGCGAAAATTTCAACCAATGGATTCAGATTATAGCAAAAGATTCACTTAGATTGAGGAGAAAAAGGCAAAAATTGAAAAGCTTTCGAAACCAGAAACTGAAAGCACCCTAAATTATGTAAACCCATTTGGATATATACCTGAAGAGAGAGTGTAGATAGCTAGAAACCATCTTTGGAACCGAGCAAAAGAAGAGGAAACGGAGTGATCAAAGGTACCAAAAGTTCTGTTCTTGGCGAAGTAAGGAAACAGAAGTATAGATAAAAATGTGGAAACGAAGAAGAAGATGAAGAAACTTGAGCTTGGTTCCCAGATAAAGGTCTCAATAACGACACCCATCGATCCAAAAGTCACCGGTAAAGCCACCGGAGAAAGAGAACAAAACGTCGGCGAAGAGAGTGGAATTTGAGATCTTGACTGATAAAAGTTAAACAAATAGAAAACCTCTGGCTCGTTTAGAGGGTTATTGCTTCTACCAGGCCAACAGGCCCAAAACCTATGCAAGCAAAAAGGCCCAAGTTCAAGAGATTTAGGTCTTTATTTCTTTTATATGTTTTTCAGCATATAAGTCTATATGACTAAACTAGTTTACTAAAGTTATCATTTGATTAAAAAATAGAAATATTTTTAAACAAACTCACAATGAAGTGCTAGAGATGGAAGTAATATTTTATAATTTTGCATAAGAAATAGAAAAGGTTTTGATCAGGATCGCATAATCTGTATTTTTAAAAATTATACTATCAATATTTGACATCACATATGCATGATCTTGGAATCCAGATTCCAACGCCAAATATTAGGGATAAAAAGTTTATAATGTAAGCATCATAACTCAAATATTTTCCTTTATCTGAATTTTGCACCAACATTGCATTGTCGTTAAAAATTGTCGAATCATAAGTTTAGAAATCAAATAATTTAAGTCAGTATATTAGATGTGCAAATTTCATAGGTTATATTTTAAACTATACTATAGAATCCTTAAATCTCTCTCTTGTTAAGAAGGTTTATTAAGCCAAAATAGCCTAAACGGTCCAAAGATCCATTAAATTAAATACTTAACACATAGATAACACCAAAAAAAATAATCTACAAAATATGAATTAAGACTATGATAATAAGATTTTAAATTTTTTTGATTTAAAAATATTTTTTTGTATCTTTGATTTTATTATTATGAGTATCAACGTATTTGCTCAGTAGTTTATTTAGCTATCGCCAAAAGTTTTTAGAAAATATGCACACTTGTAAAGTGCTATCTTTCGAGAGCTGCTTCAGAAAGTAGGTCATACAGAATTAGCACAATATTTTTTTTCAAATAATCCCACAATACAACATTATTTTATTATGTATACAGAGCCATAAAGAATAAATTTAAATATTACCGTGCCTTAAAAAAACTCATAAAAAATTGCGAATTTTTATATTAGTTTTACTATTCAAGGGTTTGAGGAGGAATAGATTCTTATATTTCTTTGTCACTGAAGAACTTGGGTGAACCTTGAAAGTTATACGAGTTGTATTGCCTAGTGATGGAAGAGAGTTAGAGATCTAAAGAACCGAAAGAAAAGCCAAACTAATCTAAATTTATTTATGTTTATTTGATTTTATGGAAGTTGACAAAATCAAGTGTTTAACAACATAAAATAATACGAATGGTTAGAATAACATTTTAACTTAAGAAAGGCTGAAGCCCAATTCAGAAGGCCCAAATAAGGTGAAATCGAATTATCTAGAATTAAAAAAAGAAAAAAAAAAGCGTTAGGTGATTGGTGTGAGTGGGCGAATTAAATTGTGAGTGGACATTATAGAAAAAAGAAGCAAGTGGCATCGTATAAATCTCTCTTCTCATCGAGTCGGCAAAAACCAAAGAAAAAAAAAAGTTATTTCCATTTTCGTATTCTTTTTTTCTCAAAATTAGGGTTCTTCTTCTTTCTTCTTCTTCTCTTTCCCTTCGCGTAATCGATCAGAACAAAGATGGGTGGTGGAAACGCACAGAAGTCAGCCATGGCTCGTGCTAAAAACTTGGAGAAGGCAAAAGCTGCTGGAAAAGGTATCAAAGACCCGACCAGATTCGGTTCTTTTATAGGTTTTATCGAATGTAAGATTTAGCTTTAGAACTCGTGTTTTGTAATGATTTTTTTTGTTGCTTGATCTCTCTTATAGGTAGCCAATTGGAAGCTAACAAGAAAGCTATGTCGATTCAGGTGATCATCCTAGACTTGAGTTTTTTTTTTTTAAATACAACTTCTTGGTTACTAGAATTGGTTTTCTTATTAGGGCTTTGGGATTTGTTTATGGAGTCATGAAACCTTAGTTTAATTGTCTTTGTAATGAACTCATACCGTCTGTTGTGTACAGATTTTTCTCATGTTGATGCACAAATGTCTTATTAGATCCTATAAATGTTGGTTTATTATCTTAGTGAGGTGTTCCCTAACTTGCTTTGTTATTTCTTGATGTGTTTTGTTATGTACAGTGCAAGGTTTGTATGCAAACATTCATCTGCACTACATCGGAAGTGAAATGCAGGGAGCATGCTGAGGCCAAGCATCCGAAAGCCGATGTTGTCGCTTGCTTCCCTCACCTCAAGAAGTGATGAAATAAAAAGCTATGATCTCAAGAAGGATTCCAATGTAAAACGTTTTGGATCCTCCTCTTTCCTATGTTTGTATCAAAAATGTTTCTGAAAAGTTTATGGTTCTGTTTTTTCTCTCTTACTTGAAATGAGACTTGTTTCAACACTACTAAGTCTGTTCTTATAAATTATATCATAAAAGCTTTGTTTGGAACCTATTTTTATAAGTTCGGCTTCGTTTTGCTTATCCATTATGTTTTCATGAAAGGATCAATTACCACAATTTTGATACAACTTTCTTTGAGTTCTTACAACAACATGACAATGTTTTGGTTCAAAAAATAGTAGTAGGCATCACTTCAAGGTTTGGTTTTACAGAGTTCGGAGTCTGCTGGTCTCTGCAGCTTTAACTTGAGCGAAGTATGGATGATCCTACAGAACAACAGAGAACAAAAGATTATAAGTTTGGTGAGATAATCGGGTAAAAACAAATAAGTTGTGTTCGGAAAGGATTTTACCATGGCCTCTCTTGCGGTTAATCTGTCTTGATGATCATACCGAAGAAGCATATCCAGAAAATCAATGGCCTGAAGATAATCATACATTGAGAGTCAATATACACACAGAAGAACATTAAGTAGTTTATAGATTGTCGAGAAAGAGACGAACCTCTGGTGAGACCAAGTGTTGGTTGTCAGCATTGATAAACTTGGACCATGGTTTCCTGTTATGCCTGCAAATAAGAAAAGTTTTAACTAATTTGTCCTGGGTGGACTCTGCAAAGCAACTGGTGTTGACTTTAAAACGCAGAGACATAGGGATGAAATCAAACCTTCCAACAAGTGCTTCCAGTTGAGGATCTAGATCTAGCTGGTATTTGTTAAGGTAGGTATATAAATCGTCGGTTCCCAACACCTAGCAAGGGGTTTGAACCAAAAATCACTTAAATTGATCTAACTTCTGTAACATTATCTTATGCAACTAAGTCTGCAGCTTGGAGACTAGCAATATACCTTGGCGATTTTCACAAGTTGATCATGATTATCATGGCCATAGAAGAACGGTTCCTTGCGAAATATCTACAGCATCGGCATTTGAGAAGTGAATAAGCAACATCAAAAGTTGTTAGCAATTAAAAAACTTGGAAACTCAAATGTTGTAATAACTTAAAACATGGAAACTATAGAGAAGAGTGAGGGGATTATCAGTTCTCACCATGCCAGCAAACATGCAGCCAAGGCTCCACATGTCTAAAGAATAGTCATAATCCTGTAGATCAACTAGTAGCTCGGGACCCTTGAAGTATCTGACAATTAATTCACAGGTTGTTAGTCTAATGAATAATAATACACCTACAAACGATTAACAAGCTTTGATTGCAAAAAGCTAGTTTCACATTTTATATGTTTCAGTCATCAGCGTTTATGAATGTCCCTATTAGATGTGCCAAGGCAGATAAATAGAGCTGTGGTATTTGATATTACCGTGAGGCAACTCGAACATTATACTCTTTCCCGGGATGGTAAAACTCAGCGAGACCCCAGTCTATCAGGCGAAGTTTACGCAGCTGATGATCTATCATGACATTGTGAGGCTTAACATCCCTGTGCATTATTCCTTGAGAATGGCAGAAATCCAATGCCTGAAATGTAATATTATCAACTACGGATTCCGATAAAACTTTCTATGTATGGTAAAATTCATTTCTGGTAGTAACCAATGTAAAAGATCAATACATTACCTTAAGCAGCTCATAAATATAGTACCGGATATCGTAATCAGTCAATGTTGGATACAATACTTTAAAGTCCACACTGTTGACAAACTCAAATATCAAGCTAGGTGTTTTGGAGTGCTCATCTCTGACAATATCATACAGCTTAACGATATTCGGTCCACCACAGAGGTTTTGAAGTATTTTGATCTCTCTCTTTATCTGCAACAAACATCAAAGTAATGACTTATCAAGTTTCAACAAAACAAACAACACAATTCATCAGAGAAAAAAAGGTTCATGAGCTTAATCACCTTCTTCTTTTTTACGGGTTTGAGGATCTTGATAACGCATCGCTCGTTCGTATTGACGTTTTTGCCTTCGAATACTTCACTGTATTTTCCTCTACCAACTTTTCTCACAACCTCATAATCATCCTGGTGTCTACAAATCACACAACGTATTTTAAGAATCTCACTCAAACGAAACTGAAAATCCAATACTTGCTAACTAGCTACTTCAACACTCTGTGTTCAAGAGACCTTACTCAAACCCTAGAAATTTCCACTTTATTGGATTCAAAATCGATTTGGGGAACAAATCAATCAAATTCCATCGGAAGACACAGAAAACAAAATTCAAAAACCACGAACAGAGCAGTAAAAGGCAAAAGCGAGAGTTATTACCCCCATTGAACAACGAGAGACTCGTAGTCCCAGTACTCTTTGGGACGAACAACGTTAACATCTGTGTAAACCCTAGATTTCGACATCAGCTTCGATCTGTAGATGGAGAAACTGTGAGAATTGAGCGATCACAATCCTCTCTCTTAATATCTCAGGTCAGGTTTCTTCAAGTGGGATGATGATGATGATGACAGAGCAAGTGCGTTGCACAAAAGCGCAGGATAGAAGAAAAAAGGTTGAAGAAAGAAACAATCTGAGTCACAGAACCGATCAATCAACCAAATCGAACCGATCAATCAACCAAATCGAACCGATCAATCAACCAAATCGAACCGATCAATCAACCAAATCGAACCGATCAATCAACCAAATCGAACCGATCAATCAAGATTAAATCATACTGAACCGTTTAATCGAACCAAGTAAACCAAATCGGACCGAGCTGTTTTCAATACGGTGTCGTTTTTTAGAAACCCAAAGAAAAGAAAAAAAGGGAGAATTAAAGCAAATTCGTTACCTTCTCTTTTCATTTTAGAGGTTTAAAAAAGACATTAATGGCCTTAAGGCCTTGTACTGGATTCACAATCTCCTCTCTTCGCAACGCTTCCGCCGCCAACAACAATCTCTTCTCTCTCCTCTCTTCGTCGTCTCCGGCGAAGAGAAACCTCTTATTCTCCTCGCTCCGGGACCATCTCCGTCGTTTCGCATCTAGCGCTTCTCTTTACCGTCAACATCTACGGAATCAACAACAGCAGCAGCAGCAACAACAGCAATCGCGCGTGAAAGATAAATCGGATACGATGGCACAGAAGATCGGTAAATCTATCCGGCGTGCCGGTGCGCCGTCGAAAGCTAGGGTTTACGCTGATGTCAACGTTGTTAGACCTAAGGATTATTGGGATTACGAGTCTCTTGCTGTTCAATGGGGGTATCGTCTTCCTTCACCTTTTGGATTCTTCTTTGATTAAACCTAATTGCTTCGATTCCTATATATTTGGCTTTTGTATTAGATTGGTTTTGGGTGATTAGAGTGGTTGATGGTTCTGATTTAGGGTTTCGTGTTAAGGAACTTCTGAAAATTGTAGAATTGATATTCTTTGGTATCTTGAGTTTGTATGGTGTGGTTAATATATGAGGTAGCTTTGGTGTTGTCGTAGAGTACATGATGATTATGAAGCTTACATCGCTTATAGATGTTTGCAATTGGTATCAGATAGGTTGAAGTGGCCAAGAATTCTTGTGTATATTGCAGAATCTTGTGTATACATTGCAGAATTGTATTGTTTTGTACATATTCTTGTAAAAGAATACAAATTAGTATCTTGAGTTTGTGTGGTGTGGTTAATATTTGAGGTATTTCAGTGTTTGAGGTGCCTTTATTGCTGCTGCAGTGTACAGGATGATTATGAGGTGGTGAGGAAGGTTGGCAGGGGGAAATACAGTGAGGTCTTTGAAGGTATCCATGCCACTGATAACGAGAAATGTGTTATCAAGATTCTGAAGCCTGTGAAAAAGAAGAAGGTTAGTAGATCCTGCTGCTTGCTTGTTTTGCTAAATTATGCTCAGGATGAAGCATGTTCCTGGCATTGCTTGATCTGAATTCGTCTCTAACATGTTTTGCTTCTTACATTAACTCAGATTAAGAGAGAGATTAAGATTCTGCAGAATCTCTGCGGTGGGCCAAATATTGTAAAATTGCTTGACATTGTTAGAGATCAGCAATCGAAGACGCCCAGCTTGATATTTGAACATGTGAACAATAAGGATTTTAAAGTCCTCTATCCAACTCTCTCCGATTATGATGTTCGATATTATATATTTGAACTTCTAAAGGTAAAAATCAAGTTTTATGTATCTATAGACTAGTTATTCATGCACCTAATATTCTTTCATACTGCAAAAGTAACGGAAGCTTAATGTATACTTGTATAGCGTCAGACATATGGTGTACATGTACCGTATCCGTTCTAATTATATCTGTTGTTTCTTATGACATTTATGCAGGCACTGGATTTCTGTCATTCTCGTGGAATCATGCACAGAGATGTAAAACCGCATAATGTCATGATTGATCACGAGCAGCGAAAACTTCGTTTAATTGACTGGGGTTTGGCAGAATTCTATCACCCTGGGAAAGAATACAATGTTCGAGTTGCTTCAAGGTAGTTACTTAAATTTATTTGCTAATCTCTTCTCTGCAGGATTCTTTCTGTTCTAATTGGTACAGTTTCTGTCGAGAAATGCATATAGATGGGATGTAGAAGATTGCATGCACAAAGCTCTTGAGATTTTAGAATTTAAAACATATTATTGTAATTCCTCTGGCGAATGCATAGGTCTAGTGTTTACTTATGTTATTTCTCACTTCATTTCTGATGACAGGTACTTCAAAGGTCCAGAGCTACTGGTAGATTTACAGGACTATGACTATTCCTTAGACTTGTGGAGTCTTGGGTGTATGTTTGCTGGAATGGTGAGCGTTTTTAAGCTATAATTAGTTTAACTTGGTTAAGTGACTGTGTTGTGATAATAATTCTGACTTGTGTTTGGGTTATTTTACTATTCTTTAGTCAATTATGTTATACTCCATTGTAGTGTATCTGATACTAAAATTTGCTGCAGATATTCCGCAAGGAGCCATTCTTTTATGGCCATGACAACTATGATCAATTGGTCAAAATTGCAAAGGTAAGATTAAAAAAGCTTTCATTGTTGAATCTTCATGTCCCTTCTCCACTGAAAAGGTTTCACATTCTTCCAAGTTATAGACAAAATACATACACTTCTTTATGGGTACCGTACGATAATATGTGTTCATAACTATGGCAGGTGCTTGGCACAGACGAACTCAATGCCTACCTAAACAAATACCGCATAGAGTTGGACCCTAATCTTGCATCCCTCGTGGGCAGGTAATTCAGTTTTGCAAGTTCTGGAATACTCTCAAACTGCAGTTTCTTTTTCTTCTCATTCAGAACTTTAAATTATGTACTCTTGATTTTATATAGACATAGCCGGAAGCCATGGTCAAAGTTCATCAATTCTGAAAACCAGCACTTAGCAGTTCCTGAGGTACAACACTTGCTTTTCTCTATATAATTGTGAAGCCTTTATGTTGACACAAAAAAAAAAAACCGGATGAACATGACTCATATCTGATTTTTGCATTTTTGGTTTATTATGAAGGCTGTCGATTTTGTGGACAAGTTGCTGAGATATGATCACCAAGAAAGGCCAACAGCTAAAGAAGCAATGGTAAGAAACAAATTTAGGCACTTTAAGATCTCTTTGTAGACTTGTCTTAAGATTACAGATAATTGAATTTGAGAATATGATGATTTGTTTTTCAGGCACATCCATATTTCTACCCGATTAGAAATGCAGAGAGCAGCCGTACGCCTCGAGGCCAATGATCCTGAAAACATTTGCTTGTTCAATCTCTGATATTTCATTTCTTGACGGATTCAAATTTGTTATAAATCGATTTTTCATTGTTTCATTCTCTCAAGTGTGCGTGTGTTTGCTTTTTTGCTCTTTCTTGGTGTTTCAACTCTTTTGAATTTCAAAGTATAAAATCCACAAAGACGGTCTAAAGAAGTCTTCTCTTCATTGTTATTTATATTTTGCTTGTCGATGGAAGTTGGGTTTGTATACGGAAATTTTAGAATTGATTTAAAGTTGGGTTTGTATACGGAAATTATTTTTGTTATTGAAAGATAGTGTTTTTAAACATAAGTCAAAACATGAAAATGATTCAAATGTATTGAGTTCATTGGAATGAACTTTTAATCACTTTATGAAAATATAAGTATAGTTTTATTTTATTAATTTTAACATATATAGTATTTTTAACGCACACATGACATGACTTGAAAAAAATTAATGAGTTTATAAGAATTAATCTCTAATTAGTGAATATTTCTTGCATAGAGAACATACTCCATCGAAATTTATCATGATGGTATTAAATGTTATATGAATATTTCAGGAAATTTTGGGTATCACTATATTTTTTTAATTTTTGTATACATTTTAACACATTAACGATTAAAATTATCATATATATAATGAATATATTCTTCAATTTTTAACCTTTTTACCTTTACCAAAAAAAAAAATCTCTAAACTTCTTACAATATGTAGCTATGTACTGTTTTTCTCCATATGAGTTTGTAAGGAGCACACACCTATTATCAACTTTCTTTGATAAAATATTATCCGTTCTCATTATACATTTGAATTTGAACTAATTAAATTGAAAGTACTTTAACTTTTTTTTTAAAACTCATGAATTAACTACCATTCAGTTCAAGTCCATTAGTTAAGATCAAATTTGAAACATATTATCAACCATAGAGTGTTTCTCTGCTCACCTTCTTCAGCCTTTGATCTAGCCAAATGTATTGAGGCGTATAAATACCATAGGCAAAGCAGGATGATTGGTTAAAGGTAAGAGCATGAGAGTTATCTTTGAGTCGTGGCAGTTTTGAAAATAGAAAACAAGACTCATGTTCGGTACAATTGACAATGAATAAATTAAACATAACTCATATATGTATATCTATTTTAACATTTTTGAAGTACATTTTGTATTAAATTCTATTTTGGATTATAACCTTTTATTTTGTATTATTTGCACAATCAAACCCTTGCCATTTGAATAAATAATAAAACTTAAAAGTAAATTTTGTAATTAAATCACAAGCAAATTGCATAAAATTGGAAACAAATATTTATTACATCAAAACAATTTCCTAAAATATCTCTCTAATAACTCGAATCTCTCTCCAATATATTTATATAAACTTATTTGTTTTCAATTTCTATTATTACATAATAAAATATTTATAATAAAAATACAAAAAAAATTCGCACATTTTGCAATTTAATTTTTTTGAAAAACAGACGTATATAACTCAATTGATAAAGGGAAAATTTTTATATAAAAGTTCAAAATCATTATAAATATTACTAAGATGTTTCCAACAACAAATGAGCATGAAGTTTGATTACTTAGGCATCCAAATTAAAAATAACTATCCAGTTTAATCCGGACCTATATTTAAGAAAATTAAAAAAAAAATTAAAAGCTTCAAAATATGATAAATTTTATTTTTATAGAAAAGCTTAAAATATTAGAGAAATTCTTACTAATGCCCTAATATTATACCAATTAATGTAAAGTATTATTATTATTTTAACTCTAAATTTTAAAAATATAATAATAATGTACATAAATATGATTGGACGGATTTCAATTTACATAAATAGGATTATATTTTTCGTACGGGTTGTCTATAATAAGATATTTTTACAGGTTATGTTATAATCTAATTTGTTTTATAACAAAATTGTTCCGCGGTCCACATATATATATAAATCTACTTATAATACAAATTCATAAAATTATATAAAATTCTCCAACTTCTAGGACTTTACTTCATTAACATATATAACTATCTCTTACAGTTGAACTCTCTTTCTTACTTATAATTATATATAATTCATATAATAATTATGAAAAGTCAATATAACAAAAGTCAAAGTCAAATCAAAGTGTTTGTGGAGCGTAAAAGCACGCTCCGGGAATAGAGAGTGGTGGTCGGTCAACTTGATAAATAACTGTAGACAATAAGAAAGCATGAGAATCTCTAATCTAATCCAAATAGTGATTAGGAGGGGACATTAAGCACATAATCCGATCTTGATGACTGTGTCTGTGGAACAATCTCTCCATGTCTTATAATTCTTTTAGTTTAGTTTAATCTCTTTGGTTCCCTTTGTCCAAATGATTATGTAATCATCCTATGTCATGTCGTTATTAATTTATAATAATTTATAGCTGTCTCTCTCTCTTTCTTTATTGTCTAAAATGCATTAAAAAAATATATTGAAGGACAAAATCTTTGAAAATTTGATGAATTACGCACACTCAAAGATATTGTTGTATTTAAATCATATGAAGATCTTTAACCAAAAAAAAAAAAAATCATATGAAGAAAATCAAATATTCAAATATATATTTTTATAACTGATACCTAGTGATATATTTCTCCAATATAATCCATTAATGGTTATTTCTTTAGATTGTTGGAGAGAATCATCCACTGAAAAAATAAATAAATATGTATTATTTCTTATATTGATGCCTTCAACAATCTTAAGCGTCTAAATTCCACCAAAAATAAAAAAAATCTTAAGCGTCTAAAAATTGTGAGTGCATGATTTATTCACTTGGAATCTTTATCTAATCAATTATGTGTAACATATATATATTGTTAATCTCTTTTTCATTTATGTGCACATTCAAATCATATTTTATTGAATTGCAACTGTATATATCTATCTCTAACAATGAGTATACTGAATAATTGTTTCCAATCGTGTGCAAATTATACACTTACAATCTTACATACTATTTATATTTTAGTTCTATCTTAAGTGGAATAACATATTATTATATTTTTTTGTTAAAATGTTGAGTAAGGTCGTTAATGAATCATATTACAACTTTTAAGCACAAGGATCAATACAAATCATCACACTAAAATGTAACCGATGCTATTTGCTTAGACCAATGCATAGTAAAATCTCCAAGTTTATTCATTTTTAAAGTTAACATGAGTCAACACGTTCACATATGCATATATACACAACGTCTACAGGACGTGTATATGTCGACTTCCCCGATATATAATTAAGTTTATGGGTTTTTATACACATACATATACACATCAACTTCGTAAACTTGTGTGGTTATAGGAATGCATATATATCCGAAACACATAATATTTGTCTGTCGACGTTGGTTGATTACGAAACGTAATTAGGGTACTTTTAATATATATATATATATTGATAGTGCTACCGTTCTTGCCCTACATTATTAGCTGTCCTTAAACATTTCGTATCATTTTTTATTGTTACGAATTTAATGTTACAATGTTTAACCTCTCCAATATGTTCCATCATAAAAACATGGTTAAGACATGTTGAAACAAGGATTAACGAAAGCATACATCAAGAAAGAGAATTGCTTCTTATGTCTGCCATGCCATGCATGCATGCATATGTGATTATATGTATATATAAACAACCATGATTGATGCCTTGATGGTAATGCATGCCATGCATGGCATTGATTTGACAAGACGAGAGTGATGAAATTGGCAGAAGCTATGATGACCTTATTCTCATTAGCAGTAGACAACGCTCCATGTCTCACTTCCATGTTTCTCTCTTTTCTATCATCCTTACCCAAGACAGAGGAAATCTCAAATATTCATATACAGCCAAATGCTTTTAGTCGATGAATCACTCGAGAGAAATCTGAGTTCACGATTTCAAAATATAAAAATCAAAGTTATAGTCTCAAAATACAGTACCATTATTTGTTAAAATATATCAAAAATTATCTTAATACTCAGATTATTTGAAAAGTTAAGCGTCTAATTTTATATTTATTTTTTATCACTACATTTTTTTTTTTTTTTTTTTGTCATCATTACAAATTATACGTCTTTTTTTAACAGAGACCGGACTCGAACTCGAATCTGGTGAGAAAGCAACAGAGGTGAGAACCACTAGCCCACTTGTCCTTCTCCGCTACATTATTTTGTAGTAAGAAAAACCCCACAATTAATTGACTAGATTCTACTCGAAATTGTATGTATAAGTTTTTGAAGTTAAATGCATGTCTTCTAACCTATCAAATTGCCTTTGTCGCATCTATTTATTGCCTTTTTGTTTTGTCTCACGTTCCTATCCACTAGTTCGCTTGGGGGTGTCGTCTTTTATCTCCCCACCACATAACTCTCAGAAACTTGAGAAAAACAAAATGCTGAAATAATATCTCTACTCAGAGATATTTACGTACTCGAGTCTCGAGTCATTTCAAACACTCTCCTTTCATAATGTACAAGAGAAAAAAGTACAAATGCACATACAGAGCTCTGGGTGGTTATGATGGTTAGAGTTTGATAAATCCGTCCGACTTAGTCTAGTCTATTCTGTTTATAGGACGGATAACAAACTATTATCAACCAAGTAGGTCATAGTTGATTTACGATAATTTTATTTTGTTCGTACCACTATAAATATAATTTGTAAATAGTAAACAAAAATCGTTATAATCCAAAAACGGATTTTCCATTTCAACCGCTATAACAATTCAAATCTATAAAATTTTATGTAAACTGGAGGTGTTCAGTCCAAATATCTTATAAGTTCTTCGAATTATTTCATTTTTAGATTCTTGAATTATGGATAATAATATTTAACATATAAATCCAAAATAATTATAGGTGAGTTTTTGTACGATTTTTATTTTTATTTGGATTTAGATTTTAATCAAATATACCATTTTGAAGAATGTTAGGTTGTTTTTCTTTTCGGTTTGGTTTTAATTCATATTTTCCCTTGAAGGTATAAAAGATGAGGTTATTTTAAACAATATTTCAACAAGTGTTTCTGATTTGTTTAATCAGATCATTTCAGTGTATTTTGATCGAACACTCTTAAGCTAGTGACACTCACGAATACGTATAAGTTTCGTATAAGCTAGTAGTGACCACATGTATGTCGAGCCTCGAGGTATAAACAAGATTCATGAGTCTATGATAGACGTATAGGGACAAGGTGCATAATCTCAGGGATCCGGACGAGCTATGGCCGTAGCCTATGTGTCCGAACCTGCCCGCACCATAAATATTTACCGGTGTTTTTGGTAATATATTTTTAAACATCAGTAGCATACTTTTATCACACATAAACACGTGAAAATTAAATGGTTTTTGGTTGTAGTGACTAGCTAGACTTTATCAATATTGTGTTGTTTTTTATATCACATAAATTTGACTTTAGAAGCATAAATGTTAAATATTACTTATATATGAACTAAAAATTTAGGGTTGGGACTTATAAGTAGATTACATACTGAAATCATATTAAAAAAAATCTAATTTAAAAATTTTTCAAAAAAATTGAGAAATTTGCAAAAATATTTTTGAATACTTTTTGCAAAAATATATGTTTTTGTTGTCCATTTTCAATAATACTCATTTTCTATATACAAAATGACTAAATTTTAGTCCTACCATAAATATTGTGATCCATATGTACAATATACAATGGTTTGTCAAATTTATATATACACTTAACAAAGAAAAATACGAATTTTCCACACTAAAAAAAGTATTTGTAATATTTGTTCTCAAATCGACCCTTCGCAAACAACATACCATATTATATCTCATGATAATTAACTTGCTAATCATCAGTCCAATATATGTCTAAAGACTCTAAACTTATAAATCCATTCCATTTCATATACTTTTATACAAAGCCTTTTTCATATTTAAGCCTTATAACATTAATTAAAATTACCGCACTGATATATATCTCTCATGCATAAAAAATGCACCCGATTTTGTAAAGCTTCCACAAAACTTTGGTTGTTCTGTAATTGACTTATATGCATTCAATATACATCATCGATATGATGATATCTATATGACCAAAACCCAAATCCACTTCATTGTTTGATTGGACATAACCTTAGCAACTAATCTCATCTCATTACGTTTCTCCTACACGACGACAACGCGATATTTTCTCTCCCCCTCGCCGCTTTGTCCCCCTCCAACATTATTCACAGCTGGACCTCATTCTCAACACAACTGAGTAAGAGACAAACATAATAAGGGCATTTTAATCATTTTCCTCGAGTCATCTTCTAATTAAGGAGTTACTATTATAAAACTTTGGCTCGTGGCTTGACTGGTCTTGGCCTCCTTCTCGTAATTATGATATGCTGAAAATAAACTAAGGTAACCAATTTAATTAGGGTTTAGAAGCTAATTACATTGTCAAAGAACAAGAGTTGAATACAACTTTGTAATTTGACGACGTGAGAAGTAGTAATCATATAATTGAATAAAAATGTGTGAGAACGTACGTACGGATCTAGATCATTGATGTTTCTCGAGGATTTTGTCGTGTAAATTTTATGTTGTATATACGTTATAGTTAAATCATAGGTACGTACATATATATAATATAATAGGAATCATAATAGTATGTGAAACGTATGTCTGAATTCTACAAAATTTGACCGGAGAAAACACTAATCTGTCTGCTAATCACTCGACATTTTGTGTCATTCGATGTGGTCCATGGTTTATGTTATATATGTTTCTTTAAAAGCTCCTCAACATCGTATTTACAAAATCTTTGTTTAGTACGTAGTAAATATATGTTAATTACAATGATTATATATTAGGCAACCAACCACGAGTGTTACATCTATCTTCATATTATATCAACATATGAAAGTGTATTATGCCGTTAAACCGACTCAGTTCAATCTAAACTGAATTATGAAAACTTTATTTGAAGATGGAAAAGTGTATTATGCCGTTAAACCGACTCAATTCAATCTAAACAAAAATTTTGGTTTATGTTGAAAAAGATATATAATATCTAAAAGCCAAAACCAAACAAGAGAAAATATATTTTTGAAATCTTTGTAACTTGTTGATGATACTCAAATAGTTAAATGTAGAGGTGGGAAGAGATGTCTAAACTTGGCACCACTATATATATTTGCCTTAGTGCACATCTTCGTCTCTCGTTTTGCTTATTTGTGAATCCAAATGACGCATGCGCTTTGGTCATTTAAAGCCTTTACTATATATATGACATCATAATTTCATAAGATAAAACTATATAATATGCATGTAATCTATACAAATAAAATTAACACTTTCCTCTCAACTCATGCTTGGTTAGATATTTTTTGGTGTTTTGATTAATACGTTTTTATCTCGTCGAATATTCATATTTTATTCTAAATTTTCTATACGAGATATGCGAAAATATTTAGAGCCGTCAAAATAGGTTGTTCACATCCATTTAGATACGTTTAACATTTATCATTTTAATTACAAATAAAAAGTCTAATGTCCATTATAAGTTTATAACGACCACCACTCTTAATTTTAACCATAGAGATTGTTGATATTCAGATTTGTTTTTAGTTTTTATATATGATATGATCATATGAGAATAACATCATTTTTGTTAAACGAAATGGGAATAACGATCAGAATTTTATGAAAAGGTCACAGTATATAATATGAGATGGATATTAGGATATACGTAGAATGGTATCTTATTAATAATTAAAATCATATCAACGATTAGACAAAATCCTTTGGGAGAGAAAAAAAAAATGCTTGATCCTATGAATAGACTGATAAAAATATAATCAAATCCAAATGGTTTATGTCTTATTAAGCATCTATATGATATACATCAATTGACTAATTAGGGCGACACACTTATTTTGAAAATTGACGGAATAAAATTAGGTGTTTTAGTGACACACCACTTGCTAATTTTAATTAGGTGTTTGATTAAAAAGGCTTAAGATTGTTATGGAAACAAGTGGGGAGCCATATGCCCAAAACGCACTTTCCTATGATATATTCATTATTCGATTTTGTTTTTGGTAATAATAATTCTTGATTACAATTCCATCATTCTGATCCGATTTCAAGAGATGAATATTACCAAGAGTTTTTTAAATGATTAATCTTGTGATTGGAGTAGCCTCACTTTATAAAAGAGAGATTTTTCAACTAGAGTCGTCGAACATTGTATATCAATTGGTTTTATATTGCCAACTACAATGTTGTCGTGATACATATTCTCTATTTAATAAGTCATGAAGTGTTTTCACGTTTCTTGTCCGTTTCTTTTTATTTATTTTTCTGTAACCTTTTTTGTCCGTTTCAAAACATGAAAAATACAAACTGAAAATTTTATTTATAAAACTGTCATGTTTTTTGTAAGTGAGAGTGAAACATAAAATGTAGAAAATAGATAAGATTAAAAGTTCTTAAGTTCGATTTATTAAAATAATTACGTTTTATTTTAATTAGCGTAGAAATTTTACTGATAAAAGAAAAATATTTAATAAAAAAAAGTAAACGATTAACCGCTCAGCTATATCTATATATATAAAGTTAACTTTTTCTCTCTTCTCCTTAAGCCACATCATCATCCTAATCATCATCTACTTTATTTTATTATTTAATTTTAAGAATTAATTGTATTATTTTATCATTTAATTTGATTTTGACATATGAAAATAATTTTTTCAAAAAGAAATATGAAAGGTCTTTTCTTATATTATATATTATCAAAATAAAAATATTATTGATTAAAAATAAAAAATAATAGAATGTTTTATAATGAAGATATATATAAATTTAAAATAATATGACACAAAACTTAATTATATTTACACAATCTAAACCTAAATTAAAATGAGATTTAACGAAAATAGAACAAAACGTTAGAAAATTTAAGAATATAAATCTATCTAATAAACATAAATGAGATAGGTTAGTACAAAACATGAATTCTCATTTTAAAAACACATAAAAAAAGGTCACACTAAAAATAATATTTCATTAATAGTTTGCAATATGAATTTAACTAATTTTTTCCAATACAACAAATATGGTAAACTAATAAACAAAATAAAAAATTAACAATATTTCATAAAAATTGAAAATTAAAACAAAAAAGCATAATTAAATGAAATGAACTAAATATAAAGTAAATTATACTAATATGTTAAATTTTAAATTTGTTCCATATGAATATACGAAAAATATATAAAACAGAAAATCAGAAACAAATATATAATAGTATAAAAATGATCATAACGAGATATAAATTAGGTCAAATCAAAAAAAAAGAAACGAAAAAACAAAAAATTAAATTATGACAATATACAAGGATAATGTAACCAATAAAAAATACAATAATCCGCTTGAAACCCACAAATCATTTTTAACTTTCAGCCCAATATATTAAAAAGACCACAATATTAACATCTAGATCTATATTTGGTAGGAACCCTAATAACACATGTTTCTCTATGATTCTCCACTGCACTTCCGTTTACACTCATATATCAATCTATATTATACACGTTTAATTTCTCAACTACTAATGAAGCTAAAACTCAACATGTTTTCATAGAAAACACAATCTAATATTTTTAAAAAATAAGTATGCTATAGTAAAAAAAATTAGTAAGAAATAAAATACGAACCAATTACTCATCAAAAACATAATAAAACTACCGCGCGTAGTGCGGGCAACCGACTAGTGTATATATATAATTGAATTTTTATTTTTATTAAAAATATATACCTCAAATTTTCATTATAAGCAACATATTAATCAATAACAATAATTACAATTCTTTAATAAGAAATTAAAATGATCCGTATTTAATCAAGAACAATATCTATATTAACATTTTTGAAGTACATTTTGTGTTCTACCCTTTTATTTTGTTATATTTTCATAATTAAACCCTTGCCATTTAATTAAATAGAAAAAGTTTAAGATAAATTTTGTAATT